TGGCGAACCCTTGACTCTTTTGACGTTGATGCCTTTGAATGTAGCTATAATTCTGAAAGTCGAAAAGTGGTCTGTCGATTGACTACAATTTCTTATAAAGTGCTGCATTCGTGTTAACCTGTCAATATTTTTGAAAGCGTTGCCAACTTACTTAAAACTAATTTGAACCAAAAATACGTTTACATAAGGTTGCGACATCTCTCATTATTGAAAATCAATGAAAAACGTAAGTCAAGTCAGGGTTTTTTTTTATTGGTATCTACGAAGTCAAGTAAGCAGGGGCCGAGAACGCATTCCAGTTTTGGTTTAGTTCTGCACGAGAACAAAATGTAATGTGAAGAACGTTCCCAAAAAAGAGCCAAACGGGGAAAAGGTATCTGCTATCGATACTTGAATGGGGGAAAAAATGAGAACAAAAAACGCTCGGGAACGTTCTCAAGAAGAACAGAATGAGAACGAAACGTTCGCGAACGTTTCTAATGAGAAAGAAATAAGAACATTTCCAAGGAGGACCTAATAAGAACGAAAGTCTGGAGAACGTTCAGCTAGAGAACAAAACGAGAATAAAAGTTTTACGAATTTTAAGTTAAGAATGAGAGGGGTGTCTGCCTGTTGGGATGAAAAATCGTTTCAGTGAGAACCACGGTTGCTAATTCTAAGCTAGCGGAAAGCTGCTTCATTTCAACAACATATCGTTTATCATTAGGGTGTCCATTTATGGATCAATTTTTCATTTGCTGTGCAAGAAAAGTTCGTGTCTTAAGTCTTTAGTTAACTTTATTTGCATAATTGTCTTTTAGCCCTTTTTTTGGTTATTTTTAATAGTCAAACATTACATGACCACACGTTTTGGTCTTATATATTTCCCATTTATAATGTTCTCGACAATTTGGTTTTCATTTCGGTGTTGGGTTTGAAGTGTTCTTGGGATCAACCCTATGATATTCGTCGTTACAAATGTTTAAAATTAACATACATACATACATACATATATGTGTGTATATGTATGTAATTTTTTCGCCACTTCTATGAACCCGAAAATTTTTAGGGAAAATCTTAACATTTTTAACGAAAAAAATCCTTTAAACAATGCCATTTGGGGCCCTTCGGAGTGATGACAGCGGTACACTGAGCCTCAGTAGTACTTTAATTAGAAGTGCATAACCAAAAATCAAAAGGATCAATCATTGCTTGCTAATGTGAAAAATTGTTTGCCAACAGCTGATGTAATAAATCCATTGCTAATTGGCTTTTGAGCGTATTTTGCAGGGTTTCTCAAATATTTGCTGCATTTGCATTTACTCTACTAATCTGACTAAAACAAAGATTTTTGATTTCGTTGCACAACAATGCAACATATGTACATACATGTACTGCTAATCCTATATGAAAAACTTAACCTATATACATACATATATATGTTTGTGTGCAACAATTATTTAATTAAACTACGCATTATGCAAATAGAACACAAATATTTTAAATACTCTTGTATATGTACATAACTCAAACATTAGATATGTATGTATGTAATAGTACATACCCAGTGGGAAAATGTAATCGAAAAAGTAATCAGTAAAACAACCCTTTTCACATTCGAAAATGCATTTTTTTCTCAGGGCGATTTCCTAAGAAAAGTGGGGCATTCAGTTTTGCATTACCTAGTTTTGAGAAATGAATGTGTTTTTAATATAAAACTTTTGGAACTTTTTGAATACATTAGAGTGTTGATTACATAGTAAGCAGCAAAGAGAACTCAAAAGAAATACATCATTTTATTTCGAGCCCTAACCGCCAAAAAGGCGTTTTTTTTCCTATTATCCATTATCCCATTATCCTATTATCTATTAGCCAGACTCGACCCTATTAAGCTGGCATTTCAGGGTACTATTTTATATATATACATGCCCACGATGTTAGCTATATTATACTGGTGGTTTTATTTGCCCATCTTTATTGAAACAAGTGATTTTGTCGCTTACGCCCTTTCTGCCATCACAAAAAAAGAGGCTACAGCACGCAATTGCGGCCGTTAAGCCGAAAGAGATATAAAATTTTTATCTTTTTTAATTAAGTTAAAGTGAAAGTTTAATTAAGTTAAGGTTAACGCTCGAAGTAATGCAGGCGGCATTAATTTTGCATCACTCATACGCTCTGGTGTACATATCGCACACCTAGATTTAAAGTGAGCTAACTCAAAATTCATGGATCGTACAGATTCAACGCAATTAATACAAAAACAGGAAAAATAATATTCGCATTAATAGGATGCAAGTCCTGTGAATTGATTTATGCAAAAAAACCGCCATACATTTTTTTTTGCGTTGATCGCACTTTAGATCTAGCTGTGTGTGCGATATGTGCATTGTTGGAGTGCATGTCGCAATCAGTGCTGTTGTTGTAGTATTGTGTTTTGTCACAACAAAACTTTTGTGTAACAAAGCAAACGGATTAGCAGCGTTTTTGGAGATGAACTCTCATTAGAGCACATGCTGCTGCATATTGCCATTCTTTTGCTTGCATTAGCATTTGTTTTTGTATGCTGCATGCTGCATGATGTAGCCATTACTGCTATTTAAGCTGCCTCAATTTTCATTCTTATGTTGAAACATGTGCCTTTCGCATATACTTTGCTGCTTAAAATTATGCAAGCTATCATATATTTTCACTGGAAATCGAACTGAAAACACTGTCACCGGCGGTTGACTTGCAATGAATGAAAATCGGATGAATATCCTGGCAAACGACTGATTTGGTTATGTAGTGGATTAAAAATAGTGCATTTTTAGGCTCATACGTATCTATACTAGGATGTCTGTACATATGTATCTCGTATGAAGATGCGCTTGTTAGACGAAGTAAAAGCACACTAGGTGTAGAACAGGGATTGGCAAAGGGTGCTGTTTTTGTGACTTTAAGCCTACTCACGTTAAAAACGGAGGATGAACGAACACCACCGCAAAGCGTGCTGTCTTGCAAATACAGCCACCACAAGTGAACGATGCTTATAACAGCTCATACTGATATTGACTTCGGCAAATCTGTACTCTGGATGATCGTGCACGAAACCAGCAACCGCCGTATTTCATCGACAGCCATAAGCACCCCTGCAAAAATTGGGACTAGATTAAATACTAGTACGGGACCACACTACCTTGTAACCAACACTAGTAACGAAAATGGTCCAAGTATATGGAGAAAATATGGTAACATTAACATTGCGATGTCATTGGACCTGACCACCTCTGGTCCAACGCTGCATAACATGGGACCACTGCTGGTCCACCCCTGCATAACATGGGACCACCTAGACAACTACTCCTTTTGGATCATGGCACATTCGGCAGCCGAATCATGTTGCCGATGGGGCACGAATAGGTGGATCTCAACACATATATCGGTTTTTTACGTTTGAAGTGGTCCAGGTAAGCATAACAAGTTACTAGTATGCAACCTGGCCCTTTTGCACATACTTTAAAACTACGACCCATTGGACCACCTGGTCCTCAAATTTTTGCAGGGACGATACTGCATTTGGACGGTTGCCGAAAGCATGACAGCTTATGTGAAAGACTGGCGAAGGCAAAATGCCGCAGTTAGCTAACTTGATTTGTTGCAGAAGTCAAACCGCCGCCTTTGGTTTGTTGCTGAAGGCGCGTTTGAAGTGTTGCCGAAGTGATGATACTGTAGTTCAAAAACATTCAACGATACTTGCTTGTTTGAAATGAAGCATTGATATGTACATACATACACACGTACGTATGCACATTCCTCACAACTAGCCAGCAGTGAGCAATGCAATTGAATGGTAGACGCGCTATAAATACATACATACATGCATACGAGACGATAAATTACCCGGTGTCGTACCAGAGGAAGAAGGGTGTTAGTTGAGTTGGCTTGAGTGGACGGGCGAAGAGGTGGTTAGTGTCGTACGGAGAACCTTCACCTGCCAGACATATGTTGGGCACGTGGGGATCTATTTTGGACAAGTAGGAAGTTTGATCAATTACAATAACCATACCGCGATTGAGTCAGATTTTTGCGGGTCATTCTCAGCAGTGGAGGCTAATTTTTTTTCTGCAGGTGTTGATTGTACTCCTATGACGGTATTTACTAGTCGGAAGTTAGTCAAGGTGGTGACAGTTTCCCTGTGAATGCCGTGTATTGCCCGTCTATATAGCGACGGATTCAGTGGTTGTTGCACATATTGTTGGACCTCGTCCGTTAGTTCGTAGAGAATACATACCTTATTGAAGGCTACGTACCGAGCAAGTGCCTTTTCGGGTGCTTCCGATTGTGGACCCCTACTCGAAACCTCTTGCTGAGCTGAATGTTGTGCTCCATAACTGAGAGTCGGGTTGTTCTCAGTCGAAATGAGTACGCCGGTGACAAGAACACCCAGTTTTAGCCTGACCCCTTTCGTCCAGGTGGTAAAAACGATTGTTAAGGATTTTGAGATTAAGGGAGAGCGTTGGACACTTTGCAAGTGAAGAAACGAAAAAGTTCGGAGCGGTAGCAGTTTACTTCTGAGTTCCAGTGCCGAGCTCTAATATCGAGTATTCGTTAGCGTACGAGATGGTGCTTTCGATCTTGATGGTGACGATATGTTTTAAATATATAAATCTTACAAGATATTCATAAGCAAAAACATTATTTTAATTTGTGCTCATTTGGAAGTGAAAATCTTAGTAAAATCGAATACACCGAAAGAAACTTAAACAATATATTTTATATATAATTTTATAAAACAAAAAAATTTCTTTAACGATATTGCGGTAACTTGCAGTTCAACTCAAATTGACCTTTATTAAGTTTAAGTTTTGTCAAATCACATGCCTTATCAACGTCAAAGTCTGATGACATATTTATCAACATTGCATTATTCTTTGCTTTTCTTAATTACAGTCAATTTTTATTGTTAATTTAATTTTTGGTTTTAATATTATCTATTGCCAATTTTTAATGGTTCAATGTTTTTCCTTCTTTGTTTTTTGCAGTTATGGATAACCGCCGAAAACAACATCAACAACAACAAAAAGAGCAACAAGTGAAATCGTGGCATTTATATACCGCTATTGTGTGTTGTGTGTAGCGAAACGAAAAGTAAGAACAACAAAAAAAAAATCATTCTAACAAAGCCAACAACAAAACAAAGCCAGCAGCAATTGTTGTTGCTTACTATAAGTAGTCAGTGTGAAAACGAAACAAACAAAAAATTTAAAAGCAAAGCCACCGCAACAAATAGCGTACAAAAAATATAGCACCAAAACAAGCACGTGCGCTACAACAATAACAACAATATCGCGTAAGTAATTTCATGTTTTTTGTTTTGTTTTATTCAAACAGTAGATAAATTTTTTTATACTTATTTTTTGAATAGACGTGATCGACAAATGGTCCGAATAGAACATTTTTGATTTGGATGAATTTTGGTCAGAACTTTTCCTTTATCATATAACAAAGTTCTGCCAAAGCAAAAAATTTAAATTTTTTATTTTTATAGTATTATTGAGCTTTGTACCACGATTTGTTTGTTTGGTTGTTAGGGAAAATGGAAAAACAACAAAGCTTAAGCGGTAGAAGTTTAAAGTTATCCAAAATCCTAAATTTCATAATTTCCGGGATTTTGCAAGTTTATTTTTTGAAAAAAAACAATAATGGTTTTGGTCTTGTTTTAGGACTATAAAATAAAAATAAATTTGTATATAAAAAAGCGAAAATGTAAAAAATACAGAATTGTGAAATAAGACAAAAAATTTAAGAGCAAAAACTTATACAAATTTTTGGTTCAACATTTTATACAATACCTCTAACTGATCTTGAAATATTTTAAAATTTTCAAGGTTTTTTTTTTAAGATATACATTTTTTAACTTTGTATTTTTGTTCATCAATTTTTAATAAAGAGTTTGCAATAATTTTTTTCAATGTTCAAAATTTCATATTAAAAAAAAAAGACTTTAACATCAACTAGAGGCATTACATAAAAAAATAGCTAAAAATTTTATTTTCCCTTTACGATTTTTTAATTCTTTTTAATATTTTATTTTCGATTTTTTTTAATATATATTTTTTATATACAACACCAAACATCACCTTTATAAAAAATAGCAGGATCTTTTAGTATTTTTTAGAGGCATGACATAAACAAATTTAGCTAAAAATTTAATTTTCGCTTTTGAATTTAAAACTTTTTTTATTTTATTTTCGAATTTTTTTAAACGTATATTTTTTTATACAGCACTAAATAGCACATTTATAAAGAGACCAGAACCATAGTAGTTTTTGAGATATTCAAAAAATAAGCTTACAAATTCGGGAAATTGTGAAATTTTGAACTTTCGTCTTTTTTTTTCCTTTGGCAGAGCTTCGTTCTATGATAGAAAAAAGTTCTGACCAAAGTTCATCCAAATCAAAAAGGCTCGATACCAACCATTGGTCGATTCAACATGGTGAGCTGCCAAACTATCGATAGTATTTGATAATCGAAAACATCGATGGTTTTGTAAGCATTCCCCCCAACATCCGACAGTCGTCAATCTGTTGTTACATTAGTAGGATAACGCAATATCTAATGTATTCAATGATCTTGGGTTGACTTAGTAAGTTGCTACAACATCAAGAATATTATCCCATGCGCTTAAATTCTTTACCATTACCGATTTGGTTCAAATCCGTTTTCAAAAGATTTCGTTTTGCGTTACTATTTATGTACACTATTGTCACTCGGCGCACCTCAGTCAATTAAGCTGTCAAATACACGTGTTTATAATCCATCCAACACCGTACTCGTGATCTTTTCTAAACGCGCAAGTCTAAGAATTACATTTGGGTTATTTGTTTTTCTACATACATACGTAAATGATGTGTCAGCCAGTGAATGGCAAGACGACTGGGAGGTGTGTGAGGTAGAGCAAATACTTGAACACAGCGCTATTGTCTGGTTAATTGCTTAAGCTTAAAAGCCCATTCAATACACAATAATTAATAAAGCAATTCATTAAGTTAAGCTACATATTAAGTACTTATGTACGTATGTATGTATGTAGTTATACATGTACGTGTATGGTAAGAAATCGTTGAATAGCAATAACAAAAATATTATATTTATTTGCTCATTGCTCGTGTCTACTATTTTTAAACAAATATTGTTTAGCATTGCATTGTAAATAAAACCCAAAGCCAGGCTAATAACATTCTTCATGGCTAGCGAAGTGCGATAGTGTTTTGTTTTTATTGTTGTCGCTAGAAATCTTATCAAAATTAAATGAGCGTATATTGTGCGTACAGAGTAAAACAAAATTCAATGTGGGGAAATATGAACTGGTCTCACTCTGGTAGAGGGGCAGCCAACACAATTAGAAGACGAAAGCCAGGAACAGGAATACGTTAGACGAGGCCTTTAGGAGGAAGGATAAAATGGACTGAGTCCATAGAGGAAGTTGGCATCAAATATACTATATCCGTGAAGTCACGAGAGTGTGCCACCAAATAAAACAAAAAAAAATGGCAGCATGCAGAATATCTGTCGCAGCTATTTGTAATTTTGGAAGTTATACGTTTTTTTTTTTTAGTTTTAATAATTTAAGCTGCTTAAAAATGGTAAAAATTTTACCGTCTAATGTCCTTCTTGCCAATCGAAATGAATTTAGTGTAGTAAAACTAAAAAAAAAATTACATTGAGTAAAAGATGACTATGGTTTGAGAAACTAAAATTCCATTTTTACAATTTTTATTGGCACACTCGAAATTCATTCTATTATTGTTATATACGAGAAGAAAGTAATATATGTGTGCATAAGGAATACTGTGTAAAAATCTTCTACGCCAATATTTAATTACTTTAAAAAAATATTAATCTTGAATTAAGGCGTACGAGTAAAATGAATGTGTATGATGCCACTGGGCGTATACGTTACGTATGCAGCTACGGGTATAGATATGAACACGCTTATGGGAGATTTTTTTCATAACTGGGCATTTTTGAGTGTCCGCGTCTCTTTTTAGCGGGAAGTCTATGTATGGGAGAGCATTTTGTATTGAAAAAAAAAACGCTTATAGGAGATGTCCGCTTATTAGAGCGTCCGGCTTTGAGAGCTTTCACTGTACTTTTCTAATATTTTTAGATTGTTAAATATTATGATATTTATGCTAAAGGAATGGGATTCGAACGATAACACTGAATACTTCGTATATACTCCTGCAAAAATAGGCTCGAACCTTGTTTGTAAAATTTAACAGCCGCTATTTTGAACACCTCCTTTGCTCTCTATTTCATTCACTTGCATCCGAATCGTAAAAATATTCCTTTAAAAAGCTGCTCTAGTAAATTCACAGATTTACATGGCAACACCCACGTCTCATCTGCGGTGGCCGGCAGCCTGTGTATCGATTACAAAAACCACTGCCGCATAAATAATGTATTGTTGTTGTTTACTAAAAGCTTTTAGTGTTCATTAAAAACCCACATGCGAACACACTTCAAAGAGTTCACATGCATTGCATATTACTATTTTAATTCGTTCGATTCGATTTTTTTTTTTTTTGTTTTTGGTTGTCTGTTGTGTCGCTTTCTGAGTGCTGCGGCTTGTTGTCGTAATTTTTAAATTAAATGTAAATAAATAATTGCTCATTTTGTAATTAAGTCAATATAATAATAGCACGGGCTAAACAACTTAGATGCAATAACAACAACAATACAATTGAGCGTGAAATAATTATTACGCATAAATTTGAAATGAGTTGTGAGTCGGTTGTTTAATTCGCCGGTTGTTTTGTGGTCGCCTGAAGTGGGTCAGCTGCGGCGGAAGCTATAATGTGCAAGCAGCTTAAGCTAAGCGAGCGGTCTTGTACAATACTTGCATGCGAGTTGCTACAACTCGCGCGCCGTGAATTTGTTTTGTTTTTATGTATTTATGTATACCAAAAATGTTACTCCCGGGATCCCGGCATCCCTGGAAAATAATCCCGGAATTTTCGGGATTTGTAATTTACACTGATGGCAATAATAGAAAGTCCTTTTCTTGACCTTAACTTAACTTTACTTTTTACAAAGGTTAAACCCTATTTAAAAACGTCAAAAAATATTCCTAATGATTCATCTAAACCATTTCTGAGTGATGAGAGGTCTCGCAAGGTGTTGATTTTCAATTCATCATATTTCAAATCACTCTGTACCGCTAAAAAGGTTTTAACTTCAAAAAATAAAACTTATTGAACATCTGTGTTAAATCCCCGTTTTTTTAATTTAACTTCTCAAATTCGAAATAACGGCGAAGATCTGAAAAACTTCAAAAAAATAGGTGGAAACCCTAATTAAAAATATTATCAGCCTGAAGTTCTCCAAAAACTCTATCGCTTGACATTAATATTTCAATATTTTATTTAGCTTGTGTATAAGTAAAACAAATTCGACTTTTAACAAAGGTGCCAATTAGGTAAACAAGGTGCTTTAAGCAAGATCTTAATATATATATATAAAGTAAATATATACTTCTTCTGTAGTGATCTCTTTCATATCACATATTTTCATTTCTTAATTTAACAAGTAATTCAATTCTTATATAAAAATTTTAAATTATCGTTCATTTCTTCATGATACAATGATCGGATTTAAACCAAACTATGTATGTAGTATGGGAGTCCCTGACGAAAGTGTTATACCGGGAAAAGTCCTTGCGGCAACTATGACCCGGTTCGATGGTGAATCGTCCTTGAATCTGTATAGTTGGTGCCAATTTCAAAAATGGGGAGTATCATTGGTCCACATTCTGTTTGGTCGCCGTAAAGCAAGGACCGCAATGGTTCTGATGGTTGATGTAACGGTGGTAATTTGACTTTGATCCACTTTCCGGAAAAAATTAGTTTTTTCCCTTTGGCATGGTGGTTGCTAAAAGCTATTTATGCACAAAATTTCATGAAAATCGGATCTGCCGTTCGCGAGATTACCTGTTACAAAGAAAGGGACTTCTCTTTATATAATTAGTAGATATAGATAAATAAGAGAACATATTGTAATGAACTTAATTTGCCATAACTCGGCTTTGGAGGCACCTAACGGGTCTATTTTGCAGGTTTATTTTTTTTTATGTAGCAAATATGTATTCCGCGTGTGAAGAAAATCGAAAGCGAATTCTTAGCTTAGCTCGCCCCCTGCGCCACCTATCGGAAAAATTTAAACTTTGTATACTCCTCCTTCTAAACACCTTTCCAACAAAGCAACTACCATTCGAATCGGTTATGAAAATAGAAGAAAATTATTCCAAACTGATTCATGCTCACAATGAATTTTACAATTATCTGAAAT